CTTTACTACCAATGATGACATCATGCCAGGTGGGTGGAGCCTCCTGCCAGCTTTACTACCGGTTCTATAGAACTGAGCTCTCAGAGAGGGTTCTCATCTTTATGGTGAACTTGGCCAGTCATCCTGACTGCTCCTGACTGGGCAAGATCACCATAAAGACCACCTTAGCTAACTCAAAAAGAGACATTATACAGCATCTCTATTCCCAGATGGTATCTTTTCTAGACACTCAAAAATAGCATCATCCATCCAAAATTGGCAGACTGTCAGATGTCACATCTGTTCAGAAACATGAATTCTGTACAGATCAGAGTTAGTCCACCTCTCAGATTTTCATTCCTAATTTACCTAGAACCATGGAGTAACCTGGAGAGAACAGCTACAAAAGATTAACTCCATCCCATCCCCATCATCTCACTCAGACAGGTCTTCATGGTACATGCCACATTCATGCTTCATTCGGAAATAAATCCAGGATACAAGATGCTTTATCAGTAGTTGACCTGGGAACAAAGAATAGGGTTTTTAAGTTGGAGGGCCAACCCTATTATCATTTTGACTTTTTTCAAGTTGCAGCTTAAATAAATAATTGAGACCAGCCTTGGTAAGGCTTTAGAAATACAAACTCACTTGAATGATCTTTTAATACCCCAAATTAGAAACAACCATGTTCAAGATCACTTCCTCTGTATTCCCTCTATTTCTCTATTAATAAGATTGCAATCTATTTATGAACATGTACCTTACTAAATCCAGAGAGAGAGCAAATTCTGAGTAAATACACATATGATTAATTTGAAAATCTTTAGCTGTGTGTGTATTTAAGTATATACAGTATATGTTTGGGTATGTGTGTGTTTACAGATATCAATCACACACACACACACATACACACACACATCTATATTAGAGTACAATATTGAAATGAAAAAGAATTAACACATAATTCCCCATATTGTAAGATGCATTCAACGCTTGAATAAAAGACCCCAAGGAAAGATTGAAGGCAAACAAGGCCCAGGCAGAAGAAGAGCATCATGGCTACAAAATCTAAGGGACTGGTTTGAACAAAACTCAACAGAACTTTTTCATGCGGCTGTTGATAAAAATAGAATTGCCAACATGATTGCCAACATCCAATGACGGATATGGCACAAGAAGAAGATAGCAATCCTTAAAGACATTCATAAATCCTACATTTGAAGCAACAATTCCTACAACAAAGGCAAAACTCCATGAATACAATTTGATTTTATTGTATCATTAATTTCTTAAATTCAACACTGATAATAGATATTATTCCAATAGCGCTATTATTTTGTTCAGGTGGACTACAATTCCTTTCTTAAAACTTATTCTCATTATATGCATCTTATTGCCTGCAATAATTACTATGGGATTGTGTTTCAAGGCAAGATTCACATATATAATAGTTAACCATGAAGTTTAAAGTTTATGATAGTTATATTCATAAATAAAATATTGTTGATTCATAATGTTGTAAGAAGCTGCCACACTCTGAGCAGACTACATTATATTACCATAATACCCTGTTTCCCCCAAAATAAGACATCCCCTGATAATAAACCCAATTGGTTCTTTTGAGCGCATGGCAATAAGGCCAAGCGCTTATTTCAGGGTTCAAAAAATTATAAGTCAGGGTCTTATTTTCGGGGAAACACGGTATTAGCATATTTGCATAACTACTCAGAAGTACTTTTGTTCTATATATTTGATGCATATAGATGTATGTGTATGTACACTACTTCTTTTGAAATTGTGAACAGATTCCAGATTATTTTTCAAAATAAAAACTACATACCACATAAGGGACAAAATCAATATTAGGAAATATTAGACAGAGTCCTATTAATATTTTGCAATATAAATTGTTCAACTAAAGGTTAATAAGGCAAGGTAAAGGCATGAACAAATTCTCATTTCATTTTAAGTTGGTCACGGCCAGTACAATTATTTCTATTAGAAAACAGTTTTTAATCAGCTTTTAAATATGTATATAGCAACTGTTATCATTTTCAATATAAGTGGGAAAATTATATTTTCTTTTGGATCTTTCCAAAAAATCTGGGTTTTTTTCTACACAGACAAATCTCTAAACAAAAATATGTCTTTGTACAGTGAAAAGCAAACATATTTGCTACCTGTTCATATTCAACAAGTGACTCCAAGGTATAAAAGCAGCAAAACCATAGTTCTCTATTTGTTAAAATGTATCATTATCATCAAAATAAAACCAGTTCAGGTATTATACTGCCTAATTATCAACTCAATTTTCATCAATAGAACAACTGCATGGACTGAGAGGACCCTCGTTTTCCTTTCTCTAGCTGGAACTACTTATGATTCAGTATTCACTTCTAAAGGAGAAAACAAAACCAGAACCACAGTTAGCATTAATGAATCAATGAAAGAAAACAAAATTAAAATATATTATTTCAAATGATGTACTGGGGCTCTACTTCATAATTACTCTATCATCAGTATAAAGTTGCTAAAGCTCAATATATGGTTACATTTTAAGAACTACCTCCACAGATCAGTTATTGTGGATGTCAATTATACCTTTTCTTCAGCTATGCCACAATTAAAATTTATAGTATTCTAGTAAAAAAAGTTACATTTCATCTCAAAGAGATTCCAGAACTGCTAAAAGTTATTTCCTGAACCAAATATGGGATATACTTTTTTAAAAAAAAGGACGGTTATTTTTATCAAATACATGGTCAGAAATATGATTATGGATTTAAAAAAATATTTTCCTTATCCTGAACAAATATTAAAAATAGCACTGCAAGATACAGATCTAATAGAGTTCAGTGGAAAGATGTAGAACTCTGTCAGTACTGGAGATCAGCGCGAGTCAGTAGAGGTTATTATAGTTAATAAAACACATAATATTTCAGGATAGAATATATTCACCCCTGCCCCCCAAATAGAATATAAGGACTGACATTCAGTTCAAAAAAGGACCAAAAAAAAAAAAAAAAAAAGCATTCCATTAATTTCTATTCAACTTGAAGTTGCCTTTTAAAAAACAGAAGCTAGTTCAATTAATTGGTATCACATTACTTATTTTGTATGCCTCAACTGCAAGGGATTAATTATAGTTTACCATACTAATGATAGATGGATTATATAAGTAGTGCCTGGTCCACAACTTCTACTTAGTGGAAGAGTTATTGAGAAATAAAATCTCAGTCAAGCATCCCTTTTTCCCCTTTCATTTCCTAATAATAATATTTTCAGACATAAATAGCATGGGGCTGGAGAAATAAGAATCTAAATTCATTACCCTTTTGCAAAAAAAGAGAAAAAAGGAGAAGGAAAAGCATTTAATGCTAAGCCTTAAATATAAACAATGACAGTTCCCCGTCATAATTTTCTATGTAGGACTTACCCAGCCCAGGTATTATAGTGAAAGCAACACTTTTAAGAATGAGCTTACAATACCATAACACCATTTGGCACTTTTACATTAAAGCACAAGGTAAACCAAGGACAAAACATTAGAAGGTGTTTTAAAGCTACATTCCTAAACTAACTCCATATCTAAAAAGTGTAAATTACATTTCTCAAGAAGACATTCGCAATAAATCAGCTCCACAGGCTTCCCTAACACCCTAAAACAAACGCACACAATTCATAACCAAAGCTTTCAAAAGCTTTCCATGTGGAAGATAAAACGTCCGTACACCATATGCTTTCACACTCCGCATCCACAGGAGACACCGCACAATATTCTGGCACGCCAATCCAAAAGACACTCCGGTAGCATTTCTAAGTCAAACGGGTCACTTTTGATACTTACGGCCGGCAAAGTATCTAATGTTTCTACGTGCCACTAATAGGGATCCAGGGTTGAAATCGTTGGCTTTCTTTAAGGGCAAGCCTTGCTAAATTGGAAAGTGGCAATTCCACGGTTCAGCCCAAGAAAAATACACACCTTTTCCGATGTGAGATCCATGGACTTAGCATCCCCAGCAGCAGAGCCGGGATGGGTGGGAGAGCCCCCGGGAAGCTGCCGGTCTAAGCTAGGCTCTCGCGAAAAAGAAGGGGAGGAAATATGTGTGTACTGTACACACACAGAGGCTCCAGAGGGAGGGAAAAATAGAACAGTGTCATTCAAGGGCTTCACGAGAGAGAGAGAGAGAGAGAGAGAGAGAGAGAGAGAGAGAGAGAGAGGAGAGAGAGAGAGAGAGAGAGAGAGAGAGAGAGAGGAAAAAAAAAAAAAACAACCCCGGGGAAGACTGCACCGCCCCCTCTCTCCCTCCTATCAGATCAATGGGACAAAGAGAAAGGGGGGGGGGAGAGAGAGGCAGAGAAAGGAAAATCTGGGGGCTGCCTTTTCTAAAAGGGTTTCCCAGAGAGGGCGGGCGAAGGGCTGGAAGCAGCCAGCGCTCCCTCCCTTTATCAACAAGGGGAGGTCCCGCTGTGGCATCCCAACCCCCCCCCCCCCCCCACACACACCCAAAGGAGTAAACGGGGCGAGAGGGAAAAAGAAAAAAAAGAAAAAAGAAAGTGGAACCGATCTTTCGCCCCGGGCCTCCGCGTCCTGTCAGGACCAGGAACCCATCCAGCCTCCAAAAGCGGGAGGAGGAAAAGAGAGCGGAGAAACTTTTTTTTTTTTTCGTTTTTCTTTTTTCCCGCCCCTTTTTTTCCCCCGTCTTTCTCCCTCCCCGCCTCCATTCGAGGGTCGGGCGGCCGAGAGCAACACACGCCGTTCTAACGACTCCGGGACGGGAAGGCAGGAAGCAAGGCAGGCCCCGCAGGGATGGGGCGGCCATTAAAGCCGCTCCAATCCGAGGCTTTCCCAGCGCGCGGCGACTGCAACCGAACCGCCCCCCGGCCGTGGCTTCCCTCATAAACACCGTGGTGGCGCTCGCCTCAGCCTTTCCCCGCCGCCCCACAGCTGGGATCGGGTTCAGCCCCCCCCCCCCTCCTTCCCACGCCGCCCGCCCGTCCGCCCCCCGGGATCTTACCTGGCTGCATTTCTCGGGGACTTCGGGTGGCGAGGAGCCTCTTTTTCCCCAGAGTGGCCCCACTGTCCAACGGCTCGCCATTATTTCAGACTCCAGTTACAATGGGTGGAAAAAAAAAAAGGATCTGCTGGAGTCAACATGGGGTGTTTGCGTATGGGGGAGTGGGGGGGGTGGGGGTGGCCGCGCGGCAAAAAATAGGCTCCCGGGGGAGGAAGTGGGGCTGTAGGCAAAAGCAAAAGAAAAACACGGCTGTCCACATGCACCAAGGAAAAGGGGTGCAGCCACTCCCACCTGGGGAAAAAAAAAGGGAATAGCGCTCAAGCTGGAAAAAAAGACCCGTCTCTGCCTTTTGGGAGAGAGCAAAAAAAAAAAAAAATGTTTTTAAAAAGAGCGCTGTCCAGCACGCAAATTCTAAGCAAGCCTCGCCTTCACAATGGGGTCCAGGAGGAAAAGGGAGTCTTGTCCAAAAAGCCCTGCGAGAGTAAAAGGGGAAAAAAAAGGGGGGGAGCGCAGGGAAAGATCCTGCTGGACTTTCTCAACCGGTCGCCCCGGCGAGAAGAAAAAGAAAGGGAAAAAAAGGGGAGGGGGATGTGTCAGTGGTCCGGGCAAAAGCCGCCGCTGCTGCTGCTGCCGCCGCCGCCGCCGCCGCCGCCTGTTCCCGCTGCCGTCCGTCCCTTGTTAGTCTAATTGCATTGGCTCGCCATCTTCCTCTTCCTCCTCCTTTGTAAAGCCGTAGCGCAGGGAGGATTGGGCGGAGAGGAGCAGAGGCGCTTGCCGCTGCCTCCTTCCAGCGCGCACGCAGACACCCGTGTCTGAAGCATTGAGAAAAGAAGGGAGGAGGACAACCCATATATACAAGTTGTCCAAGGACAGGGAAATAAATCAAGATTCCCGCCCCCTCCCCGTGACCGACATTTCCTTCTCAAGCGACGGAGGAGCGCAAGGTCCGGGCCAGGTTGGCGAGGGGACCGGATGCTCCTTTGGAGAAGCTCAGGAATTTGAAAACTTTTCTGCCCGATCCTGCCAGGCATGTGACACGGAAGTCTTGCCTGCTGCATACGCTTTTGGCACACAGTTTGAACCGGCCCAGGCCGATTGCAACCTGAAGCGGGGAGAGGGGTGTGCTGGGGGAAAACTATCGATCAGGGAAGGCTTCGCTCGCCTTTTAAGTCCAATAAGGGGTCCAAATCGCCCTTATCAGGTATGCTACCTAGCGCGCAGCGCTGATTCTTGCCGCCTTTCTACAAATGAGGATCGCTTTTCGGTGGGTAGTTCACGGCCGATTGGCTTCGAAGTTCGAATCCCTTCCCGGGGAAAAATAGTGTAAATACCTCCTCTGCAAACACCTTGGCAAAACTGCCCAGCACCTCGCCTTCCTACATTTCGCAAACGGAAGTCACCTCTCCCTGCCCGAGGGAGTCCTAACTCTGTTTTTAAATTCTTTAAACGTGCTTGCCGCACAGCGAGCAAACTTAAGGCTGCCAGGAAAAGGCACTGTTTTTAACACGGAGAAAAAAAAAAAAACAGGGATCAAAACTTCTTAATAAAGAAGAAATAAGCTACCGGTTTTATTTTACTTTTTTTTTTTAAGTAAACAAAGCATTTGCATTGCCCTGCTGCCCTAGGCAATTTGCAGGAGTGCCAGCTGCACCCAGGTCTACTCTAGCTGTCAGCCGCCCGATAGGTGCTTTATGTGCTGCTGAAAGAGAGAGTTGGGGAGACAATATTAAAAAAATAAAATAAAATATAAACCTATTTCCAACATAAAGCAACAATTTCTCTTCTGGAGAGGGGAAGACAGAAAACTGCAAGGCAAATTATATACCCATCTATTGTTTGCCGGACACTACAGGCATCTTCAGCCAATCTGTTTGACAGAGCGAGACAAACCAGGTGTATTTACGTAACTCCCGCCCCCCCCCCCATTAAAAATCTAGCCAAGAGCGTTCCGCTGGAGCTTAACAATTCAGAAAGCAGCACTTGGAGTTGCGGTGTCCTCCCAATTATTTTTCAGAGTTCTTATGCTAAGAAAAGAACTGGATGGCTCCTCAAACCAAAGTTGATAAAAAGTATAAAAACAAACTTCCGTGAAAACAATGCCTAATTCAGTATTTTATTTTCCACCTTCCTCTAATTCTTATATATATATTCAAAAGCACTTATTATTAATGGGTGATAATTGTCCATCTAAACATACTGTACTTAAATCTGCCTCTAGACTTAATCAAAGATCACTTTTCAAAGATTTTAACATTGTGAAAGGAATGGAAGATAGAGAGATGCTTTACAATATCAGATTCAACCCATAACTTAATGATTATGATTAATGATTATGGTGCATTTGCTTGCAAACTTTTGCTGAAACCTCAGATTAGAAATGCTGTGAGAATGGTTTTCTACTACATTTCATAGCAGCCTTGTGTATGTGTGTATGTGTTTGGGTGTGTGTGTATCTGAATTTCAAGAAATTTACCTTTTCAAAGATGGAAAAAGTTTGCATTTAAATACAAAGTGACAAATATTAGCACAACATTTTATTGACTAGAATCCACAAATGTCTGAAGCACATGAGACCGAAGGTGACATAGTACAGCAATGAAATGTAAATGTAATTCAGTAATTATTTTAATAAATACAGAGAATACAAGTTCTAGATTGATATCCCACCTTTTGTTATGGAGCTCAAGGTGGCAACCATAGTTGCCTAGCTACCGTAAATAGTTGCCATATAGCTGCCAATCTAATCTAGTAGTTACAGCATCAAGCTAAAACCAGCAGACTGTGAGTTCTAGTTCCTCCTTAGGTATGAAAGCTGGGTCAGTCACTCTCTCTCTCAGTCTAACGCACCTCACACAGAGTTGTGGGAAAATAGAAGGAAAAGGAGTATTATGTACATTCACCACCTTGAATTACTTATAAAGTAATAAAAACAGGATAAAAATATAAAGAATAAATAAAACCAATAAAGAAATCATTGCACTCCTATTTTCCCCAGAATAGGTCCATAAGGTTGGTTGGCCTGTGAGAGAGAGTGACTTGTTCAATGAGTGGCTGAATCTAGGCCTTCGTTATGCAAGTCCAACACCTTATTTGCCACCATCACCTCCTGCATGTATTCAAAAGCACATTAAGTATTAATTGGTGATATTTAGTCATCTAAACGTAGCTGAATAAATTATACCTATAATAGTGGGACCATCAATCTTTGTTACTATTTCCTGTTCAAAGTATGTTAAGTGGAACTTCATCTTCAAGGTCTTCTGCTGAAAAATTTCAGCTTTCAGCTTAGCAGATAAATGACCAAAGGTATGCAATTCATGTATTATTTTCCAAACAGACTAACATTTTTGCCAAAAATAGAAGAGCGTTGGTGGTCACAACAGCATATATCTTACTGAAAAATGCACTGGGCATAAGTCTGGTAACAGTTGCCAAGATACATTAGGGAGAAGGTTTGCATCTGGACTTGCTGAATAATCTCTCCACAATATTTCTGTAGCTTGGTAGCCTTTTGGTTTTGACTAGCTGTCTTAATTTAAGAGCTAGAATCAGTAATATTGTCAGCATTCAAAAGCCAGTAGGAGAACATTCAGCTTCTTGCACTCTGCTGTCTTTCTGTAATTTGCTTTTCTCAAATAGTGCATTTTTGAACAAAAATTTGATTTACTAATTGCTTGCCCTGAAAAAAAATATTACTTAGCTATGGGTATTTCCATACTATCAACATTTGTGCTATGTAGTTCCTCACAAATCAATTTGAAACGCACCCACAATCATCTTCATTTCTACTTATCTGGAACTGCGGGGAGAAAGTCTGAAGTTAATTCTGAAATTGTGGAAAACATTGAAAATGACTGTATTATAATCAATTACTACTATCAATATGCTTGTTTTGCAAGCATTTAAAATTTAATTTAATTGTCATACATTGTACTTGTTGCATTTTAGATTCATCATTTCTTGTCTTCTATACTTCTATATAGATAATAAAACTTCTAAAATATAAGAGTGTGAACTCTAGTTCTAAAAAGATATATCATATTGAGTTAGTATTTTATTACAACAAGATTCCTTATGTTTCCTGAACAAACTAACAGTAACCTTCTGGATACTGCAACCATATACAAGAATATACAAGTAGTTCCATCACATAGTATATAATGTATTTGCTTGCAGAGTCACATTTTACACATATCTATGCACAGTCACTCAAAAATATATTTTTTTCATGTGCATTCAGCGTGTTATATGTATTTTGTAGCTAGTTTTACACACTACTTTGCACACTACATAGTTTAACATCTACTTTTCCTAATATATACATTTTTCGAACCCAGATTTGATGTGCCTGTGTGCTTCAGTTCATCTCTGCATTCAGTAGTTTAAAATTGCTAAATTCATATAAATTTCATTTATAATTCTCAGTGATGACCGATAGATTTAAAAAAGTAGAACAGTAGTTCATTATGTTGGTGGGGACACAATAACCCAGTGTTTTCCTGTCTTGGCAACTTCCAGGCGTGTGGACTTCAACTCCCAGAATTCTTAACAATTGAGTATCATATGAAGGGGCAAACAATACCTGGAAGTAATTTTTCTCTTTTACGCCCACCTCCTTAAAAGGGAGATAGTTGTTTTTGAGATATTCCTATCTGGCTTTTGCATATGACATCAGTCAAGATCCAAAAGGAAGAGTGGTGGCATAACAATTGTCATCCAGTAATTCTTTACAGCTTTCGGGAATGCTTCTCTATAGGCTGCCAGATGTGTAACCTGTTCATTCAGTTGAGTTCTAGGGGTCAGCTGAAGTTATTGGATTGTATCTAATCAGTCCAACCTACCTGCTAAACAGCAATTTTCATGTCTGAGTTCCTTGATTCCATGTCGTGGAAGAGTCCATGAAGTGACTCTTGAGTCACTTCAATTTGCCTTCTCTAGGACTGAGGTCTGAGGTGGCAAACTTGATTGAACATGAATCAGAGCTGCTATTAAGGCCTACCTTGTGGTGATATGGGTGAAAAAGCATCAGTACCTCTCTGCTTTTATTACAGAGAAATGCATTGATATCCTACTGGCCTATTCAGATGACACTTGCTCTCTTTGTACAGTAGAGAGATTCAGGAGAACTTCTAGCAGGAATATGAAAGAATTTGTTCAACATCTATTGGACAAAATAGCTTAAATCAACTCAGAGTTGGATGCCGATCTTGTTGCAAATCTGGAAAAGTACCCAGGGGCAGGGCCGGATTCAGATGAAAAGAGGCCCTAGGCTATTCCACTTATGAGGCCCTTTCACCTATAGTGAAAGTGTAATTTTAATTTTGCTAAAATTTGAATGTAGGCCCCTCTTGATCTTGAGGCCCTAGGCTGAAGCCTAGTTAGCCTATAGGAAAATCCGGCCCTGCCCAGGGGAGAAGTCTTGTCCAGTTATCTAGGAACAGTTTGGACTATTTGAACTTGAGAAAGTGGTCAGGGTCTTAAGGCCACCTGCTCTTTAGATCTATGATCTTCCTGATTTGTTAAAGCGGCCTGAAAAAGATAATGGCTGCAGTGGCAGTGTATAGTGCAGTGGCAGTGAACTCTTTCTTGAGTAAGGAGATGTTCTTTTACCTCTTAAAGAAGTCTTGGTTTGCCTATCTATATTTTGGTTTCTCAGTATAAGAAGAGATTCTGGTCCATTCCAAGCCAGGTTTTCAAAGACCATAGGATAACTGTTTGAAGTGGAAGTGAAGTTTATTTGACAGCAAAACGGACGACTAACAATGGAAGGTGGGCATAAATTAAAAAAAAAAGTTAGTTACATCATAGAGAGGCCCATCTTTTGTTTTAGAAAGTGCACAGATATACTTTGTCTCTCAAAAAGTGTGCTGAGAGGAAGTGCTGAGAGGAACTTTTCACTCTGCAATGGTTTTACAATCTTTACCCTTTGTGATTCCAGATGGTGACCTTGGGTAATGGGTGTGAAATAGGGGAAACCTATTGTAGGT